ATCTATCTATCTATCTATCTATCTATCTATCTATCTATCTATCTATCGATCTATCGATCTATCTATCTATCTATCTATCGATCGATCTATCGATCTATTGATCTATCGATCTATCTATCTATCGTTTTTCTTTAATTGTTTTTTATCGGCCATCCATTTATTTCGAGAACAGCGTTAGTCATGAGTGTGTGAGCAAACAGAATTTCTTCTGGGGGTATGTAATGATCAATAAGCTCCTGAACTGAGTGTTCAGTAGAGGATTGCTTCCAAGATCCAGAAGAGACTCCTTCAAAATCACAAAGCCCTTGTGGACCTGTCCTCTCTCTGACCTGTCCTCGTTCTTCCACAGAGAACCGTCTCATCTTGGACGCGTTTGCGCAGCAGTGCAGCCGAGTGCTCAGCCTCCTCAACAACGGCCGTCTCCTGGAGCCCTCCCCCTCCCCCCTCGCCTCTGACATTAAGTTGGAAGAGGGTCGAGGCGAGGCCCAGGGTTCTCACTGCGCCTCCCAGGGGAAGCTCAAGTCTGAGGACAGCTCTTCCACCACGGAACCGGACGAGGAGGCCCCACGAAGCCACCTGAACCAGCCGCAGACCTCGGCCATCCTGCGCATCTTCACCGACTCCCTGCAGAGCTACCTGCTGTCGGGGCCTCCGCAGCAGGAGCAGGAAGAGCCGGACGGGCAGTGCCCGCCGGCGGAGCCCGGCCCGGCCGCTTCGCCCTCCAGACACAACCTGGGAGGGTGGGGCTCCCCGGCCCCCTCCGAGTCCTACGGCCACCCCTCGTCCACGCTGCCCGAGGAGGACGAGGAGGAGGAGAGCTGCTGCCCGCGCTGCCTGGAGCTGGAGCAGGAGGTGCTGTCTCTGCAGCAGGAGAACGAGGAGCTCCGCAACAAGCTGGAGAACATTCCAGGTGCAGTAGACCAGCCAATGAATGTGTCAAGTGGGATAAAGTAAAGCTTATGTGTATTTAAGATGAAGAAACCGGTGACGTTTGATCAGCCTTTAGGACGGCTTGTTTAAATGGGACTTGAATTGCAACTCAGTCATTCATTTGGAGCTGAAAGGCTGCTAGTTTTTTTTTAAATTTTTTTCCTGAGGGAGTTTTTGATTCATAAAGTTGGAATCTGGAAATATCTGAAAGCAGCTGTGTGTGTTTGTTTGAGAGAGAAAAGGTTCTTCATTATGCTGTGTGTAAAAATAGCTGTTTTCACGAGTTACTCAAAAATAGAGGAGAATTGTATCTGATAATAGAATAATAACATTTTGAGTTTTCGGTGTAGTTGCCATCTGTTGTATCTCTTAATTGCCTATCAAGGGTTCCATTCAAGCTCTTTAATATCCCGTGTCTTTTCATCCTAACAGATCTCCGTCTAAATACAATCTGGGTAATTTACTAATTAATACTTGCATGTAACCAGGGGAACCTACCGCTCACTGATTTCATGTGAATATTATTGTACAAAACTTCTCAAAAACAGTGTTTTGATTTTCTCATATCCTAATGGATTTAATCAGGATTTTCAATTTATCATCTGACCTTTTTCAGGACTATCATGGCAAGATATCCACCTGCTTTTCCACTAAATATTATATCGCATTTTCAAAAAAGCACCAGAGAATTGTGCATAATTCAAATAATCTTAAAGATAAAAAGATTCATTGTACAAAGGGTTTCCAGAGACCTTGAATCATAAAAGAAATTTCACCCACATTGAGTTCTCAGCCCTTTAGATGATTCTAATCCATATAAATTATCCAGGATTGACCCGTTGCTGTGAAATAGGTTTTATGGCCTCTGAAGAGGATATCATTGTCACCACCTTCTGCTCAATCAAAATGTGATTAAGATCAAAATGAATCGAAAATAAACACACAATCCGTATGCAGAGATTGACAAATCTTAGCAGCTGTTTTTAATGTCCAGGCTTTTTATTACATGTGTGGATGGTTGTTTTGGCATGAATCGACCACAGAGTTTTGCCTCTGGCATCTATTTCTGTAAACCTCTGCGTATCCCCACGTTGTCGTGCCACTGTGATTGACAGGAAAAAAAGCAGCTGAATGTGATGAACCGTCACGCACATTATAAATGTTTCATCTCAACTTGACAACACGAAGTCAGAGGGATTTAGAAGCCCCAGTCATAAAGCAGGCGTGCTTTTGAATGTCGTCGTTGTTTGTTTAACTGTGTTTTTATCACTGGTCCTGTTGGCCCTGCGTTTTTTCCACAGTTCCCTGTCAAAATGTTCTGGACTACTTCAAGACGGTTCTTGAGTTTCACAACCAGCTGGTCCAACCGATGCCTGAGGAGCAGCTGACCGAGGTGAGGAACGGCCTCATGTTGATCACTCACATCTCTGAGAATCCTGTTTACCACCAACGCAGATAAGGACCCACACAAACACAAAATCAGATCAATGTCATCCAACAGAAAAAAACAGACCAAATTTTAAAAAAGTGTGTCTCTACAGGAGGAAGAACGGCAGGCAGAATTTGAGGTTTGTGATTTGATTTCATGTCTTGTAGTGTAATTTTGTACATTTGAATGAGGTGAAATTACCCGTGCATAATGTTAATGTCTGGTGCAGAACACCAGAACACCTCTGAGTGTCATTCCCGATCTTCACCTCCCTGCAGGGCAGCAAACAGCTTTTGGGGAACTATCCTCTCTACATCACCAACAAGCAGTGGGACGAAGCGGTCAACTCCTCCAAGAAAGACGGCCGACGGCTGCTGCGCTACCTGATCCGCTTCGTGTTCACCACCGACGAGCTCAAGTTCTCCTGCGGTCTGGGCAAAAGGAAGCGCTCGGTGCACTCGGGAGACCCGGGCCTGGAGAGACGGCCGCTCAACCCCGTCAAAGTCAGCTGCCTCAGAGGTACGCCTCCTCAAAGAGGAGTGTTTGTCTCAGAACCAAAAATCCCACCCAGATCTTTCATTCACAGCACTGATGTTGATAATCGTTTCCTCATGTGAGGCTAAAGAGCTGACCAATATCTGATTCGCATCCCCATGGTTTTTTCCCCAGTCGTTTCATCTCAAAGCTTTCCAACAACTGAATGTTTTACTCACTCGTATGTCATAAGAATCTGATCCATACTCATTTGTATTGCTGAAAGCTTGTCAATGGAGAGGACCGCAGCTCTAAAATATGAGATTTAATCTTCCCTGGGAAGTCTGGGGGTTCACGCCTAAAAGAAAAAGCACAGAAAAACAAAAAAATCCATCATGTTCACTGCTGCCAGAAAAAATGCAGTGGCAGTTAAGTTGTTTTGAAGGTTTTCACAGAAGAAATCTCAAACATGATGTCAGCCTCGAGCTACAAGTTACCAAATGATAAAACCGCTATTAACAGCTTACTTATGTTCCTTAAACATCTGCTATTACAGTCCTGAGAGAACATCAGACTCCTCATCTGACTCCTGGTCTCGAGGGGTATGGTGTCAAACCCAGGAGGAGCTTAATCCGTGGCTTAATTCTAAGTCTGTGAGTTTATTTGTGCAAAACAGCCAAATCTGTGGTGCTGGTTCAGGTCAGAAACTGAGAAAAGAGTTTCTTTTTCAACTGAGTTTAAAATAAGAATTAGTCATAGCAGAGCAGGTTTAAACAGGACTCTATTTTCATCGCCAGCTCACACACACACCATACACATCACATTAAAACCACTGACAGCTGAAGTGAGCTACAGCGCAGCGTTGTGCTGTGAAAACCTACATTTAACTCTTCACATATGCCTAAACCTTTCCACACACCAGTCATACAGCCCAGGCAACAGCCCTCAGTTCAAGTAGCAGCCTCCCCTCTTTAACCGCTCTGCAAAACCTGCTCAGGAAGACCTAAAAGAATCTGTGGTTCTCACCTCCAAAGTGTGTATCTGATGCCCTAGTGGAAGCAATTTCCATTACCAGAGGATAACAAATCTTTTACAAAGCCTCCTAGAACTCCAGATGTTCTTTGCCCTCACTTCAGCTTTTTAGATGGTTCCAGGAGGACCTGCTGAACCAAACTTTATGGCTGATCATCGCACATGCAAAGCCACTTATGATGCCTCATGTTCACAGGAGTCTGGCTTTTCTAAATCAGTCTTCAGCCTGACTTTGCAACAGATCGATTCCAGAGTTTTGCAGCATATCTGAAGCTCTCTGACTTTACACTCTTCAGTCCAACAGTTTTACTTTTTCCCATAAGAAGCAGGCAAACATGGATAAAACAAAGTTTTATTTCAAATAATTGACCAGAACCCATTTTCCTTCTTATGAAAGGAGACCCGATTCCTTCCTGCTACAGCTGTAAAATTTCAGCTGTTTTTCAATCCGACGCAGATAATAAGAAGCACAACAAACATCCATTTTAGAGGCTTAAGCTCCGCTTTCATCATTAATTCCTCTCATCTTTATCGCGTTCCCTGCTACGGCCCAAACTCCAGCCTGCTCCACTTCAAGCCTATGCTGATAAGGAGACTTCTTTTGAGTTCCTATAATCAGAAAATGTCCGTTTCAATTCAAAATCTCTCTAGAGTTTATCCGGACGCACTGCTCCTCAAACCCGGACTGGTGGATGCCCTCAGAGGAGCAGATCAACAAAGTGTTCAGTGACGCGGTGGGCCACGCCCGCCAGGGCCGGGCGGTGGGGACCTTCCTGGGCAGCAGCGGCAGCAGCACCAGCAGCCTCTACATGGACGGCTTCGACGGCCATCTGTCCCAGGACGAGCTCTATTTGAATAGATGCCAGAACGGTCAGTCGGACTGAAGCTTAGAAACAGAAGTAAGAAAAAAAGAAAAGATGCTTGAAATGTAGCTATACAACAACATATCCCAAAAACAACGACCTACTCCTGTCAGTCAAGAAAAACATTCCGGAAAGTATTTTGTCACTCAGAATATGATTTCATTCCTTTTCTCAAATTGTTTTGGTGCTGTTGTTTTTTTGGCACAATATTTCTGGCTTTATTTAGATCTTATTAAAATCTGACTCATGCTGGTTTGAAACTCAACAGTCAGTCTTCCATATGCCACTTTTTTTCTGACTTCAGTCAGTGGATTATCTTTGTTTGACTTAGATTTGACTTGAGTTTGATTTAAAAAAGGTTTTGTTGAGTTGCACACCATGTCATATGCATACTGAAGTTTCAATTTCAGCCATAAGTGAGGCTAGACTTTCGTCTCCTCCCTTATTGAAGTAGCATTTAACTTTTTAATTTATACTGGCGAAAGCACCTTTACCTGCAATCTTTTTGCGGGAGTGTGTCTGACAAGTCATGTTTTGTTACCTTTAGATTTGCACTTTGATTCCTATCTTTTTAAAAATGTTTAATTTGAATGAAGTCTGATGTGTAAAGCTTTATCCCTTGAAGGGGAAAGTGTATCCAAACAGAAACTGTGTATGAAATATGTTCAAATCTAGCTTCCTTTGTTTTCTTTAAAAAAGAATGAAGTCTTTTTGGGAAAAAAATTGCAATTATTCTTATTGCGAACTTAAACACTCACACTCAGTGTCTGCTCAGTTTTACAACTTGTTACAATTGCTTCCCAGCTCTATGGTGGCGTTTAGGTGCTCACAAGATGCAACACAACAAACGCACAAATCCATTTAGAAAACACAGCCGAACAGAACTTGTCTTTCACATTAACACTTCAGATCACACGACTAAGCACTCCAACACAAAACCACAGTTCAGAAAATCTTTTTGACACCAATAACAAAACAAAGATATAACATTATAAAATTTAAAAAGAAATAACAAACAGAACCACATCTACAAGACCAAAACATGCTTTAAAAATTGTTGGGATCTGAAAAGTAGTTTTCCATAAATGTAGTTGTCAAGCTGCGTTAAAAAAAAACAAAAAAACTTTCTTTTGGCACCTCAGGGCCACCATACAATACAACTCTAACCAAAGTTCTCCTCCTTTTTCAGTCATCTGTTGGGGAGAATTTCTCACATTTTCCAAGATCACAGGAGGTTTCCTTGTTGTGTTTGCGTTACTGTGTGTAGCAGTGAAAATACTGCCACACTAACCTTAATTTAAACTAAAAATGGGGGATAGAAAACAGACTGTTTCTTTTCTATTTGCATATCAGTTTTATATTCGATCTTGATTTAATTTGTGAGTTTACACATCCTGACGGAAAGATCTGTTGAAATAATCACAAATCAATTTATAACCGCAGAAACATCCAATAATATGTTGTGGCAGGATACTTAAAGGCCTTTCTGTGTTGGGATTGATCACTTTTTTGGTTTTAAGGCCACGTGATATTGCCTTAAACATGTTCTTCGAGTACCTCCACGCTGTAACGTGTTGACACTGTGTTTCAGATGCCACCAAATGTGTGTTGTTTCTTGATTATGACCGAAGATCTCTTTAACAATTTCCAGTTGCTCTGATTGGAATAATTCAAGAACTTCTTCTTGTTTGCACTTTTTTTATTGTCATTGTGCTCAAACTGTGACAAGCTGCAGAATTCCCAATTTTAGCTCCAAGTGGATTAGATCCCAGGAATCTTCACCTCATGAGATTGTTTTCTTTTCTGAATGTAGGTTATTTGGTCAGTTCATCTCATTGACAGTGCCGTGTAAATGTGTAACATAAAGTACAGTTGTCGTGTGAGGTTTTCCTCCAAAACCATGTCTCCCTCTTTAAAAAGCCAAGTAGAAAAGTGCCAGAGACCTTAAAATGATTGGACTTTGTTGTTGTGTTGCTGTTCTGAATGTGAGCATTGGTTTGTATTTACTCCTTTAACCCCAAGTGGCTGTTATCAACACTGTGAAACATCGTTCAGATTTTTACAAAATCTCAGAGTTTCTGTTGTTGCTTTGTTATTTCTAATTAATAAAATATCACTAAAGCTGAACATATCTCCCTCCCTCCTCCCCTCCCTCTCTGTCTATCTGTGATACTTTTGATTATATTTTTTAATTATTAGCAAATGGGTAAATAGGAGACAAATGATTATAAATGTGAACTCAATTACTTTTATTTCCAAGACATCATGGGAAAGTTGTTTGTAATTGCACTTCTCCAATGGCATCGACTACCTGCCTCTGAAACTTTACTACCACACCAATAACTCTCTCCAGCATCCTTGCTCCGGTCCTTCTGTCTCTAGCAATCCGTCCAGGAGTCAGGACTCGGGGGAAGGCTGCAGTGTGGTGGAAGATATGCCGCTTTGTCTAAGCATCTAAAAAGTTGCATCCATGTGCATAAAAGAGGCTTATCGCTGGAAACTTTAGGTTTTAAAGATCTTCTAACACAAAACCCACAGTTTCTATGGCTGGAAGTTCAATGAGCAATGTTTCTTTCTTTTGCGTTGGCTTCCTCTCTGAAATCCACCAGGTGGCATTGCTGTCTCAGGGAGGGTGTTTTACTCCAGCCAAGATGTTTCCAGGAGGTGAGAAGTAAATAAGATGATATGCAGATCTGTGAAGACATAAAACAGCCAGCATTTTCTATACTACGAAGAATGTCTAAAAATTCAAACCCTGGTTGTTCTAAAAAAAAAAAAAAAAAAGTACAAATGTCATGATCTATTTCCATTTTCCACTTACTTTAATATCTGCCACTAAATATTTCTTCAGACATTTGCCACAGATAATGCATTTCAATAGAGGAAGTTGTTCCAGGGAGAGGTTGGCAATAACAGGATTCTTCCCGGAATGAAAAAAAAAAAATCAATATGAGCTGGAAAACATTTGACTTCATAAAAGGGATCGACTTAGAAATTGAACTGGGCACACGTTCTGCTGTTTAAGCAAAGACTGAGGCCCATTCTGACAGCACAGCAGAGCCCGGAGCTCCGGCTGGGTGTTTCTCTTTAATTCTGCGGCATCTCTCACTGTACGGGGGCCTGTTGTTGTGGAGGAGGAGGGCGGGCCGTGGACGAAGCAGATTTTGGACCGTAAACTAACCGGTGATGCGACAAGGACAGGACATGGACTCGGGATGGTGTCTGCGCGGAGCCGGTCTCATGTGATCTGCATTAACTGAATTTGTGACTGCAAAAAAAAAAAGCCGGACGGAGGCCGAGTCTGTCTGGAAACTGACCTCGGGTAAACCCCCCCCTCCGAGGCTCGGTGGAATTTGGAGGTTTTTCTGCAGAGGTATTTCTGCGCAGCGCGGAAACTCGGGCGCATCGCGCAGGGGGTTGGTGTGTGTGTGTGGGGTGGTGGTGGGGGGAGATGATCACCGGATCAACTCACAAGACACGCCACTAACTAGCCTAAAGTACGACTGTCAGGGTCCACAAGAGGCGATACAAGATGATGTCACTGATAGATCTGGACGACGACCAGCGGTGGGTGCCCACTCACGTGAATGTCACCGTCCTCCGCGCCAAGGGGCTGCGCACCAAGGGCAAGCACGGCAGCCGCTACCTGTACACCATCATCCAGGTGGGCAAGGAGAAGTACACCACCGGGCTGGTGGAGAAGGTGGAGGTGCCCGAGTGGAACGAGGAATGCTGCTTCGAGCTGCTGCCCGGCATCCTGGAGGAGGGCGGCCGGAGCGCGTACCCCCCGGGGAGCGGGGACCTGGTCCTCACCGTCATGCACCGGGTGCTCATCGGACTGGACGTGTTCCTCGGGCAAACCATCATCCCCCTTGATAAGATCTTCCACGACGGAGAGTGTCCGAGAGATGAGTAGGTTGGGGTTTTTAATTCACGCAAGCCCCGCGTATCAGTTTTACTCATGAGGGGGGGACGTGTCATCTTTTGTGTGGGACAATGGCTCAAAGGCTGGAGTCGTGCGCGTCTGGTTAACCCAAAACGCAGCAGCTCAGGGTGAACTGGTGATCCTGTACTAAAGCGTTCAGCGGTGGAATCAGATGCTGCTGATCCGGAGACACGAGGCTGCTAGAGCCCGAACCATCCAGCCTCATTAAATTCCTGCCCCCGTGGACTGATTTTGCAGAGTACTCCGGCAGAGGTTCCCAGAATGCACTGCTTATCAACAAGATGAGTTGCATTTTTCCACTGAGGCACAGGGAATGGTTCGGAGTGCCACAAACAAAATCTACATTTTTTTTCCTGCCATAAATGGGATTTTTTAGATAAAAGAACACTGTGGACTTCATCTGGCCTTATTAGATAGAAATGAAATAACTTGAATACGTCCCAGTGTGACATGTTAATCCATTTATGTGTGGCCTCTGAGACAGAAACTCATTCTCACTTTCTTCATGGTTCCATATGAATGGTAAAAAATGTGATTTTAAGAACAAGCCGGTCATTATTTTCAATTTGTGGCTGAATCCATTTGAAAATGCAGTGTAAAAATGTTTCCACCCATCTGAGCATCAGCCACAGAGTTGAAGAAGCAATGTCTTCTGGAAAAGTGGTGACAGGCCTCAGCTAACAGCTGGTGGTTAAAGGAACCTCTTTACAGTATCAGTGTCCTTTTATTGGACCTCTATATTGGAGAGTCTGGAGTATCGGTTTTGTCTGTACATGCATGCATTGGAAAAAGAAGAGCACTGTGGTGGTGGAATACACATTTATTCAGTCAGTTTAAAAAAAAAGTCATTTGTGACAATGAAAGTCTTAAATGCTCATAAATATTTGATTGTTTAGACACCCAAAATATGTCAGCATATGAAAGTGAGACAGGTGCCTCACAGATCAGCTCAGCTTCAATATATTTGCCTTCAACTTTGAGCCAGTACCAGTAAATCGATCACTGCAACAGCAGTCATTAAATATAGTTTACTGGGCAGAAAAACTGACCGTCACAGAACTCACAGGTGACAAAACAGGCACCTTCGCTGTCATGAGAAACACTGAAGAGTAGAATTGAGCGAAAACAATACGACACATCTGGCTTTAATTGTGGCTTCTCCGCCCTCCGCGCTCACTGAATTCCTGCTGTTAGTTTTGGCCCTACAATATTTTCTGTGGTCCGCAGAGAAGCTCAGAGACTGAGGATCTCATTTGCTGACCCCTGACATGTCTCTGTGTCTTCCTTTAATTTAAGCGTATGTACATGTGCACTGAAAAATCTTAAGGAATTTGGGTCGTGATTTCCTGCTCTGAGGTTTACAAAAGAGTTTTAAAGGCAGAATTTAGACCTACCCCCTTGAGCTGTCTTTTGGATTATGTAATACATTGAAATTCTGCCAAGGGGAATTTTTTTTTCTGCTTAGTTTGTGAATTTGAATGGCTGCTATAACAATGTTCTGAATGAAGCTTTCACTCGCTATCACTGCTCTGATTTTTGCTATTACTGTTCACATTTCTGCAGATGGTTCAAGCTCAACTCTAAGGCAGGAAGGAAGGAGAAGGAACGTGGTGCTCTCCAGGTGACGGTCCAGTTCACCCGCAACAACATGACGGCCAGTATGTTCGACCTCACCATGAAGGAAAAGCCCCGCTCCGCGTTCGGCAAACTCAAGGACCGAGTCACCGGGAGAAAGAGGGGGGACGTGGAGTCTTCCTCTGCCATCGTACCGGGCCGCTATGCTGCCCTCTCCGGGTCGCTGGGGCAACCCTTCGGAGAAGGAGGAGGAGGGGCGGTGGAATCGCGAGACGCGGAGATAACGGAGGAGAAGAGGAGCAAGATGAAGGATTTCTTCAGAGGGAGGCTGAGAAAGTCGTCCGACACCAGGTCATGCTCATCACTGGCTTCAGAGAGCAGCGTGTCTTCCATGGCCAGCGATAACCTCGGCCCTCCGCCCAGCCTTGATCTTTTGTCAGACCCCCCCAGCTCCCCCATCTACACAAGCAAAGTGAGAGTCGACTCCCTCCATGGAGAAACAGATTTAGCCAAGAAAGGTGGGTTTGCCATTATTCACGTTAGAGAAAAAGAAAAACGTAACTTTGTTTTCCAGTGTTTTCCAGCAGATGATTCCATGGAACACGACTGAGCCAGTCAGTTAACTTGAGTGTATTTGGCTCAGGAGATGAGGCAATTTCGTCAAATTGGAGGGTTAGTGCTATGAGCTATGAAGAATAGAACAATGATGAATTTTTGGAGTAGGTCTCATTTTTTTAACCAGAACAATGCAATCTAATATGCCACGATTAAAGGACAATTCATATTGCCCCATTGCTGTACGATTCTAATTGGCAGGACTTGACTTCCTGCCTGGGTCTTCCTTTTCTATTTTTAAGTACTTTATGGTTACTTTTTTTCTGAAATTCATCTTTGAGACAATTGGATAAAAAGCTATTGCCTGAAAATTATTGGAAGTTTTTCATAATATCAAAGCTGCTGGAAACGGATTTAATAGAGTGCTTTGGAGTCTGACTGATCCAGCAGTTCTTCATTTCGTTTTTTTTGCTTGATTACAGAAAGATTGCAACTTTAAGGGATTTTCCTCTGGTTGCATTCACACCGCATAAAGTTACATAAAGGTCGGTAGGGAGGGTTCAATCACAGGTTAATAGCACTCCTACGGCTCATAAATCTCACTGTCACTTCATTCCTTTCTACATTATGCGTGTTTTTTTGGATGTTCATGTTTATAAATGTTGGCTTCATGAGAGACATTTTGTCAATGTTTCCGAGTTTTTTTTGTAATCCAGGTTGTAATGTTAAACTTATATGTTCAACAAATCCCCCTGCATGATCTTTTCTTTTCTTGGACCACCCAGAAGATGTTGTTTTGACACATAACCTGCAAATCTGCATCCAGCAAACATCTAACTATAGTAGCATCGAACAAAGGCCAAATAAAATCATCCTGTTGAACCATAATTTGCCATAGCAGCAGTGATGTAGACACAGAAAAGAAAAAATGATCACAAGGATGCTGGGAAGTGAAAGAAATGACTGAATGTGCTGAATTCTAAAATCTAAAATTCATCCAAACACGTGAACAGACAAACTGCACAGAAAACAGAGCCTCCTTTGTGGAGACAATCAGAGCTAATGTTGCTGTCTTCTGCAATCAAGTCGAAAAGAAAACAGAAAACTGAATACGATAAACCAGCTCTGCAAGAATTGTACTTGTATTTGTTGTTCTAATGAAGTTGTTCTCCTCTCGACAGTGCTCACCAGCCAGCACACCACCAAGGTGCTGACACACAAGCGAGCCCTCAGCGATGAGGCCAGTAAGATCACTACAGCCTTCCCCCGATCCAGTGTTGCAGTGGAGTCTCTCAAAGGTCAGACCATGACTCAGTCCAAGTCGTCCTTGTGTATAAATGGAAGCCACGTGTACGACTCAGAGCCGTCGACTCCGAAGAGCTCTGGAGCGCTGCCATCGAAACTGGTTCTGCTGGAGAAGTGCTCCCCTCTGTCTCGCTCTCTGCAGAATCTCACCAAAAAAAGCGAGGACAAAAGTTCCTTTGCAGAGGGAAGACGTTGGTCCTTTGACAAGTTGAAAAAAGAGGAAAAGGAGGAGGAAAAACAGGCCCAGTCTTCATCTGCCCAAGTTCAGGAGGCTCAGACGGGGGGCCGCTCTGCGGAGGCAGCCCTGCCAATGGTCTCCTCAGCTACCAGCTCACCTGAGAAAGGCAGGAAGTTCAGAAAGACGCTGTTCTCTGCAGGGAGGAGTGATTCCCTCCCAGCTAAGACGGACCAGGCCGGCTCTGCATCTGAAGGCAGGTTCAGAGGCTGGTTTGGCTCTGGCGACTCTCAGAACAAGCCAAGGTGAGTCTGAATCATCTGTTGCCTCATATTAGGGCTTCACACTGTGATGGGTTTGCTCTCTGCCAGGCCACACTGGAGACCTGTGTACAGATTAGTGTTCTGAGTCCAGTGTTTTTCTCTGCTTTCCGCTCATTTGAAAACAAAACTGATTTATTTTCCTCCATTTTACAGCTGTGCTGTGTCATCATCTCTCACTATATTCTCCCAGTAGCACCTCAGAATTGCATTTTCCCCCTTTTTTTTTTAAAGAGTGTGTTTTTCGCCACTAAAGTTCCACCATCACAGTGGTTTTGATTTTTTTTTTTAAATGACGTGCTGTTGATATGAGCTCACCCCAAACAGTAGCGGCAGGTAATGCTTGAATGGCTACAGTGCACCAGTTTATGTTTCTTTTGCTTTTTATTTTGCAAATGGGCTTTGCTTTTTCATTTGATTTCTGTTACTATGGGTCTGCCTCTATCTGCCGATGCTGTCAGATCGAGTAAGTTGAGCAAAAACTGTCCTACTTTGTTGAGGCATATCAGCTTGTATTTTGTCTGTGTTCCCCAACTGGTGACGTGGCACATCATTAACTAAGAGGACTATTGTGCCCTATTTTCCTCCACAGGCTGGAAGTTTCTCCTAAGGTAGAAAGCAGCTCAGATGCATCTCCTCCCCACCCTCCTTGCTCCCCTGTACCTCCTCAGTGCTCCTCTCCCTGTGCCTCCCCCTCTAGTCATGTCTCACCTGATAACTGCAGCCACATCAATCTCTTCACCCCCTCCTCCTCCCCCTCCTCAGCTCCCCTCTCTCCTACCAACCCTTTCCTCACACATATGCAGCAAAACCCTTTTTTTGAGGAGTGTGTAGCAGAAGAGTTGCAGAAATCGCCTCCTTTGGCCCCGTGTTCCTCCCCTGGCTCCTCCCCATTTCATTACACCACTCTGCCCACCCAGCCCTGTGCACACAGCTCTGTTCTTGAAGTCGTTGATTCAAACAAGGTTCCCATAAAGCGTGAGCGTCCAAGGCCAGTCGCTAGGCAGATATCCCTCCCTGCGTTATTACCCAAAGCAGCCGCACTTAACTCCCCGAACCACTCCGCCCCCTGCCCCACGTCTGAAAGTGCAGGGGAGTGGGATGAGTCGTTTGACGCCTTTGCCTCGAGCCGGCTGAACTCTCCTAAGAATCGTCTTCCCCCAAAACAGCCTACAACCAGCCCGGCTTCATCTCGTAAACGTGGTTACCCCCCTGTTGATAACGCGGGTAACCACATGCAACACTTGGAAATGTGCAAAGAGGAGCTTCCACCTTTGCCTCCAAGGAGAGTTTTACGGACTTCGGTGAATGAGCTGTTCTCAGATGGCTGGCTGCACAGAGGCCAGGAGCTAGCGGTCCACAAAGAAGCCTACCTCCTCTCACAGACGGGTGTGGCCTCACTACAACACGGCAAAGAGAGTGACGGCAAAAGAAACAGCATATCCCCGGACCCTCACACTAGCAGCGAGACCTCGGACTCTCACAGTGTCCACTCCCAGCCGTACAGAAGCTGCATGTCTCCTGAGGTAACATCCGAAGAGGCTCTGAAGAAGTCCAGATACGAACCCCTGGAGGATCAAACTGACTGCTGGGGAGGGATGTTGTTTGAGCAGGACTTGTATGGACGTGTATGCGGAGGAAATTACTCTCAGCCCAGAATGAGCAGTCATCATTTATCAGTGAGCCCTGAAGAAACGGCTGCAAATAAGATCGCATCTAAGAACTCGAGATCTCAGAAACTTGATGAAAACAACGTATCTACGAGTGACGTTTTCAATTTGCTCTCCTCTATTCCCTCCAAGGCCTCAGAAAACTTTGGCTCTACAGCGAAAGAGACAATTGAAAGTAATCTGTGTGAAACGACATGTGTGAACAATAACATAACTTTCTCATTAACATTAGGCGATCTGAACATGAATGTGGACAACTCAGACTTTGGCTTTATTGATTCTGATGGATCCTCTCCATCAGAAGCAGCTGATACGGTTAAAGATATCGCTAATTTGAGTGAGACATATCTACCAGAAGATTTGCAGGTCGCCAATCTTCAGAAGGAGACCACCCTTGAAGATTTGTTCACTTTGAAGGACACCTACATTGCTACAAGGAACTCCTCTTTCGAAATAACTACATCCTCTAACAGACTCTGCAAAGTACCTCCAGTTTGCCAAGACAACAGCAATGATTGCCAGTGTGAACAGAGTAATGCCCCACCGTTTAGTACCAGCCCAGAGACTGCAGCTTCAGCACCACAAAATCCAGTTTCTAATTCAGCTGTGGCTGGAAACGAGTGTATAGAAGGACAAAGAACAAGAAATAGAACACAGAACACAGAGAAGGACCGTGACGATAATGGAAACCCGGAAGACAAGTCAAACCCAACTGGGTCATTTCCAGGAGTTGTCAGCGCACGGATCAGACCAAGAGGAGTTTCCCGACAAAACAGCAGTGACAGCCCAAACAGCCGAAACAGAAGCAGGGATGAGGAGTTTGAGCAGTTTTTATCCCTTGTTCAAAACATTTCAGAGGTGAGTGAAGGACCACTATCTTATCAGCCCACCAAAGCTGCTCTCTCTTCCATAAAAGCATCTGATAAACACACCAGTGTGCTGCAAGATGTTGTCATCAGTGACCAAATACAGAAAAATGAGTCCTACAGATCACCAGAAACCCCACTGAGGGACGGCACAGCATCAGAAAAACCCTCTGAGATCAGTTTTGAAGACCTCCATGCAAAGGTTGCCCCGAACTGCAGAACCCCTTCCAAGACAAAGATTGGGAAATCTTTGCAAGAACCTGAATCCTGTTCTCCCTCCACCCATTCCGCACTCTCCCTACCAGCTGATTCCCCTGTCTGTTGCCCCCCCATACATCCCTTAACCACGGGGCCCAATGGTGGAGCTGGCACTGCGCTGGCCGTGGCTCCCTACACCTCCTCCTACTCTTCCACCTCCACCACTGACCAGCCCCTGGTCGATGCACGCCACTCACTTTTGCCTGAGGAGACACAGCCTGCTAGCAACCTGCCCCGTCAGGAGAGCAGGTGAGAACACTAGGACATGACTTCTGTTGGTACTTACAAGCTGTGTTAAGATGTTCTCAACAAAAGTTGTAAATAGGTTTTTTGGGGGGCTTCGTTGCTATGATAAATATTTGTCCTGCTATGCTCGCTTGTTTGCTGTTGAAGACACTTTTCTATTTAAGTTCTGCCTTCTCATCCAATATGATTGGATGCTAGCTGCTGCACTGCTTCTGGCTTTGCCTCACAGTTGTGTTTTCCATCTCATGTTTCAGTTTTCTTTGTTGGCTTTTGTAACTTTACTGTTTTCACATACTCTGCACTGGCAAATATGAGCTACACTTGCTGCTATTCTGGCTACCTGCTATAGAAAGTTAAGTAGGTGTTTAGGGTAGGATATTTATATTTGCTCTGGCAAAAATAAGTGAGAAAGAAATGACTTATTTTTTTATTTTTGAAAAAAAAAAGCAACGGAATTAAACGATTGGCAGTCATTTGAAATAATGATTGAATTACTTGGGAAGAATTGATATTTTCACCCCGATTTTTGTTCCCAAAATACAAAAGTGGGAGTTACCCAAGCTTAGTTAATGCATAAATCAGCAAAAACTTGAATGATTGAAAAAAAATCAACACATGTTACTTTTACTACTTTCCTTCAAATTATGAGCGCATAAATCCGCTGATATATTTAGTTTTACAGGCTGGGTATTGGTTAAACAAATACCTCATCATTTTACCTCACTTGATCAGAGATGAAAAATGATTCTGAAGCTATAGGTTGTCAAACTTTTCCTCCTGTGATAAAACACAGAGTACACCGGTGTTGAGATGCTAGTGCTGACCATCTGATTTTGCAGACCTCATCCAGTGAAACCATTAACGTCCAGCCAGTCAGAGAAGAAGGACAATCGTTCAGTTCTTGAGAAGCTCAAATCCACCATCCACCCTGGACGCACGACCCATCTGGTTGCAGCTGAACCTGAGAAGAACGAGGTAGGGAAAGTTGTTTAACACTACTGCAGGATTAGGTTTTTTTTTTTTTCCTACGGCCGTATATTTTATTTTAAATTTTGGGTATCATTGGAGGAGTAGATCATAATGAAAACACGCAGCTGTGACCTATTAAAGTGAGTCCAACTCTTTTGCTAAAGAGAGAAATACTGATCTCATAACTTCTCTCAAGTGTGACATAATGCATTGGCCCACATAAGAATATATTTATATATATTTTTAGCACTCTCTGTGCCACCTGAAAATGAACAAGTTTCCCTGTTGCTGCAGGGAAATAGGCACTGTGGGAACTTCACATGACATTTTTCCTGATTTAGAAAACTTTACTTCTTTTTGTAATTCAGTGTTTCAGTGTGTTTGCACATAACAGGAGCGAAAGAGTCAGACAAAACAAAAAAATTAGCTGATGAGCTACTAAAATCTTTTCCTGACAGAAGTTGCCTCTTTTCAGTTCCCCAAAGCAACGAGGATTTAATAGCGAGAGGTTTTGAACCACATAAATGCTCCTTTATCCACTTTAACTCCCACCTAAACACCTGGCAAAACCTGAAACTAAAGAGCTCCTGTGCTAGCAGTACATATGAGCCAGATTTATCACACCTGACACTTCCTCTCCTCCTCTCTCCTCTGTCACAGGAGCCAGCAGTGGACAGAGCAGCCCAGTACCAGCAGCTGACCAACATGGAGCTGATCTCCCTGCTCCTGCAGCAGGAGATGGACATGCAGGAGCAGCAGGCGGCCTCCGAGCAGCAGGGGGCGCAGCTGGAGAAGTGTGAAGCCGAGCTGAAAAAGGTCAAATTGCAAGTCCGAGACCTGGAGGACTACATTGATAATCTGCTACTGCGGATTATAGAGCAGACACCCACCTTGCTCCAAGTGCGCTCCAGGCACAAGTGACGACGTTTCCAGTGTACAATTTTGTGTACTGCACATGATGTATGGGCTCTGGAATACAGCTTACATGGAGCTCTTATTCCTGAGGCTTTCACAGTCAAACAAAAGCTCCACGAGTTTTGATCTCTCAATCATCCAGGTCTTCTCACTGCTGATACTGCCCTGTTGATGTAGACACGATATTACCCATGATGCATGCAAGTTACTGTCCCTATTTGGCGTAAAGGGAAACCAAAACAATATGCTATGAGAAAAAGCTCCTATGCAAACGGATGCAAAATGGCTAATTAACACATGCTTCCTAGAATGCGTAAAGGTAGTCAGCTCTTGTCAGTTTGCTCTTAAAATCACTGCTTTTAAATGTGTGCTGAAATGAGCCCAGGCTGAGGAGCATTTCAGAGTGCTCTGGATGAACTCCTCTGGGAATAAACATCATGTTAGTGTCTCGTGTCCTTGTGACGATTTTCATATTGTTTTGTATCAGTTAGTTCCAACTGCAGTGGAGATTTCTGAAAGTTCACTTCAGCTGGTGGCGGCTTTGCAAAAATAAATTTAAGATAAAACAAAATAGCAACATATAAGACAGTGCTTTGCAATGCCACCACTATAAAGGAGTTTCTGCATTAACAACGCTGTATGGTGAATAAAAAGGCACCATTTATGTTTGAGAGGGAGGATGAAGCCTTTTTTTTAAATGTTATACTGTAGATTTTTTTCCCCCAGAAAAATATTTCAGATGCTTTTGTCTGTCCCCTGCAGACTAAAGCATTGGCAACGTTTTAATTGACCTGTTGTCCATTTATTTAGAACTGATGTGGTTTTGCTGTTGAAAAAGAGCAACAGTATGCAGTAGATGACCTCATTTTAAGTTATTTCTACAACGTTTTTGTAATAATATATGCTATTGCCACATTAGTACCACTGTAGCTACCTGCAATGCTTCACATGACCGCAGTACTGTAAGAGAATAAAGTGCACATAAACAAAAGTTTGTGATTTTGTTAAGCTGTTGTCACTGATTAATACACTGATATAAGTAAGACTAAGATCAGACTATGTTGTCGCGCTCTCTACTGTATATACACATTAGAAAGAAAGTATAATTTCAGGTCAAAGGTTGTATTACCACAAAAATAAGTCTTGTCTTTCCTGGATTTTAAAATTACATGAATGCGACCTCACAAGAAAAGTGACACATGGCATTTCATTCTGGGTTATTTAACAAAAACTATGCCCAAATGCAGTCATGTTATGGTAAAACATCTTAGTACAGCTTCACCTTTTCCATAGAAATCAAAATGATTTTTTTTAAATCAGCCCGACGTTTTTAAACAAATTCAAGATAGTTCTCAGTCTTCTCAGGAATAGAGGTTCCACTTAGATCTCCTTCCCCTTCTGGTGCGTGTCGCATGCAGTGCTCAGAAACCCTTTACAAGCCCTAACAGCTACATCTCTGTGTGTTGAAAATAAAGTTCACAATAGTGCAGTGTGATCCATTTGTGTTTGCTCCTGCTTATTTGTAAGAATTACAAGAAGAAAGACACTTTTTCTGAGAGGAACCTGGCAATGTGGGTTTTTAGGTTTTTCCAAAGATGCATCTGAACGAACCACAAGATCAGAAGAACATATCCTTCTGGAAAAAGGTCCAATGGTACAGCACAACACTAAACAGAAACGAGTCAAAAGGTTAAATCGACTTCGGTAATGTTTGGTATTTTCCACTAGAGGGCGCTCCTGTTTGTCCACATTTTGCGTCCCATCAGCTCTGAAGTATACCGGTGCTCCCGATTTCATCCTTTCTGCTTACAGCAAACACTCAGAAAATACATTAAAAAAGAAAATCCATGTTAAGAACTGTTGTAATTTAAACATTGAACTGGATTCTCAGAAAAAGGAGTAATTGTTATATGACCAAACTACAGTGGAGTGTCCAGATTGAGATCCCTGCTGGTTTTTCATTATACTGAGTCCCACCTCAGAGCTGTCCAGGGCTAATCATTGCCGTATTTTTTCCCTCCCTCTCTCATTCTTTGTCTGCCCCTCGCGGAATAATTTTTTGGCTCAAACTGAAGGGAGGATCAACCTCTATCTCTCCCAAGATCAATCCGAACAGTTATGCAACGGTTCGCACCTTATCGATTATTTGGGATGTGTAGTCATGCGCATCAACTTTGCCACTATCGAGCCAAAAGAAGAAACTACACATCCCGGAGAGCTTAGCGGCACATTGCTCCACTAGTTTCACACTGAATGTAGTTCGCTCCACTTGCAAACCCGTTTATGATTCACTTAATGAATAAATAAAGAGTTGGATGTCATGGCGGAATCGGCGGCGTGCCCTGCTTTCCAGCTCGGGAGACCACGATACGACCAGGTAAGTCATCTCTCCATCCGGCTGGGATATTTCGTTTTTCCAGGCTTTCGGGGAGAAAACAGCCCCCCCCCCCCTCCATCCATCCTCCGCCCTGGATTTTGGCACTTTGCAGCGAAAGTAAACCTTCAAATGCATCCAGTCTTTGTTATCTCAGATGGAAAACAGCCCCATCCAGCTGGAGCTTAACTTCTGGAGGCGATGTGATTAGTTTGGACTTTTATTCAGTTAATTGGGGTCGTTTTCAAATCGGCAGTGTGTTTTTTCCCCTTATGTCAGGTGTTTTTATACGCGCGGCGGCTGGACCATCCAAAATCAAAATAAAGCGTTCAATACGCTGTGTTTAACCATAGGAAAATGTTGGAAGTTCACTTATTAAACATATTTAACACCGTTTCTAAGATACTTTCCACAAAAGGGATAAAAAAACACAGCAGTGCCCACTGATGGAAGCCCATCACTCACAATACAGTCCAGAAATGAATTTAGGAGATGGTATGAGCTTAGATAGCTGAGGGGGGGGGTGGGGGGTGTCACATTAGTTGCATCTTAATCTGAATCCCCCCCCTCTGATGTGAAGTCCACATCCAGATTGTGGAAATGGATCACGTCAGTTGTTTATTTGATCATTTCAGTTTAATAAAAAAATGCAATTTTTGTGAAAATGCACAAGGGAGACTTCTGAAAAACTAAAAATCCAGATTTTAAGCCCCAAAGCTACTAAAGTTCACTGTCCTGTCGTCAGAGTGGATTTAAGCTTTTGTGAAACGTGTGGGACTGACTTCTCATGGATTGATAAAATGAGAGAATTCCTTTACTAAAACTAGAAAAAGAGGCAACACGTGTTGCCTCTCTTCCAACAACTTTGATAGTAAAATATCCACAAATAACTGCTAGGTAGATGCATGTTGCCCTTTGAGACACAACAGAACAAACCATCTTTATGGGGATGCAGAAATGTCCAGAGACAAAAACCACTAAGCACAACATAAAACAACGGCAGGATTTGTACAAAATCAGGGTTGAATTGCCTGATTGAAACAAAAATATGACTAAATGAACGGAGACTGGTTTAAAAAATTGAAAATAGAGAGACACAGAGATAGAAAAATTACCTTAAATAATCCAATAAAAGAATATTAATGTCTCTCAGTCAAATGCTTTGCGGTGTTGTGGGAAACATAGGGTCTGTTTGCATGACTACCTTGGGACCCATTGTGTTATGATTAATTCATGAACACACCAATTAGCACAAACCACTGCTGTTTTCAGAATGACAATGTGTGTCAGAATGTGCTTCTTTAAACAAAAGATCTTAAAGATTTAACTCATCTCCTTGCTATTTATTTTGTGTATTCTGCTGAAAACACGTTCACAGTGGCCCAGTTAAAAAATTTTTACCAACAACCTGCTGTTTATGATAATTGTGCTGTGATTCTTCCCAGTATTTTTATTAAAACAACTCACATTAGTCCAGCTCATGAACCAGCAGAACTCTGTCTGGGTTTCTCTCTTCTTTCTGCTGAGCTCCATCTCTCCTAGCCTAGTTGTGTACTGTCAAGGGAGCTAAGTCATGCATAATTAATGCAGTCTAGTCACATGGATCCTCTCGGTACCCCACTCTTACAAAACAGCACTGCAGCACATATGGCCTGTCAGAGGACGAGACGGGGAACGAGGGGAATGACAGAAAAACCCTGAGCAAAGAGCCACGGTTGAGCTCCGTCTTCGGCCCTTGTGAGGGATTGCTGGTTGTTTCCAGTCATTTCAATTACTATCTGGGGCTGGAGGGATAATTAAAAATAGAGACTGCCTTTCCGCTGTGTTTCCTGCCCTTCATGGCTGATAAATGTCTCAGAGGGATTCCGATTGAATCTGGTTGCTATGTTTTTGCTCACCCAGGTTGCCAACGAGACTCTTGGCACAAACTACTTTTTGAGCCTTTTCAGAATGTTGGCACGCACGCTCAGCAATTGGCACGCTGATGCAGCCTGTGAAAGAAACAGAAAACAGGGTGCTCCCACCAGCAGTTTGGAGCCCCGCTTGGAGCAATGTGAACATATATTCATTGGTTTATTAAAGAAAACAGTAAAGGAAACAGTCATAAATTTGGTTCTGTATTTCACCAAAGTTTATCAGCAGTTCTGGGTCTTGTACAGTATCTTTATTTTGTGAAAAACTACGCATGAAGTTTATGAATCAGTAAACTTGATAACTGTGTGCAGAGATTGACTGACCAAACGTACCAAAAGCTGTTTTTAATATCTATTTTCAAACTAAAATCAAAGGTATGACAGGAGCAGTATTGTAATGGCTTGGAACTAAGTAAAATAGTTGAAATGTGATTCTTTTGGAAAAGACGTAAATATGGTAAAACAGAAGGAGGGTTTGTTGTTTTTGCCATAATACCAGCAGAATGTGGACACCCTTTGACCAGCATCTGCACTGGTGAGGCTAGGTAAAATATAACTGAACAGGTGAGCTTGGTCAAACATTTGGTTTGGGTTTGTACATTTTGTACATTTTTGACCTTTGTGTTCCTGAAATAAACGCTGTATGCGTAAATCAATAACACATTCATTTATATAATAAGCACATGTATGATTTTAACCAGCAGGAAAGAGCTGTGTTGCCTCCATTTCTTTCACTAAGTCTTAAACTTATTTTTTGAAGGGGTCAGAAATAATGCACTTTCTCCTTTTGTCTTTTCTCAGAGCTCATTCCTTGGTCGCCTCAGACATTTTGTAGAAATCATCAACCCCAGCACCCTGTTTGTGTCAGAGGTAATGTTTCATGTATAAAGCATTTCTGATGTCTACAGCTTTATAGGCAGTTTGTGTCTTTAGTAAAAAGTCAGAGATTAAATGTGTTGTTTCAGTCTGTTATCATTTACATAGCCTGACAGAACCTGCTAACGTTTAAACAGCGAACTCCACAGACACCTTAACATGAGCTTAACCTGAGTGCCAGTATTATGCTGCACATAGTCTGCAGTTATTTGTGTTCAGATGCTCTTTAGTGTTTAGTATGTGATGATACAGGTAAAATGACTATTGTTTAAATCGGTATCTTGCAGGCATTTGTCAACATTAGTATGGAAAGCTTAATGATACCCAACCAATTCAGAAGTGTTGTTTTGCTTCCTGTTCATGACTTTCTTGTCATTTGTCTGTAGAAACGGTTAAAAGAATGCATTAGACTTCTTGATGATTATAAACACGGCACGCTTCCCCCCGGAGTGTCGGACGGTCAGGTGAGCCTGGAATGATCTATTCAAATGATACAATACTATCTGTCTTTCAGACAATAAAGTACAATGTTTGCAATTTAAAGTGACACAATTCTGTCTTGAATACCTGGATATTTGCACGATGGATATTGTTATTTAAACTGTCCGCTTGCGCAAGGAAACTAGGTCAAATTCCTGTGTGCTCTGTACATTTGGCCAATAAAATGATTTCTGATTCTGAAAAAAAAGAAAAAGAGCATAGACGTTGAGAGATCTGGAGGGACTCCCCACTGTCTGAAAGATTGAGTTGGCAAATAGTTCAGCAGCTTAAGAGCACTGACTTGAAGTGTAAAACTGGAAAGAATTAAGGGATTTCACCATCCTCGCTGCTGTATATTATTCAAAGATTAAGAGAAGTCAGAGAAATCTCTGTAATCACTGCAAACAGATTTCATTGCCGTGTTTTCCAGTGCAGCCTGAAACTCTCAGAAAAAAGACTCGACATGTTCTCAATGTTGTATTTTAAGTGTAACTGCCTGCTGATAATGAAATATATTCCTTCTTGAATTATCACACGGCTCCCCTGTGAAGCTGTGGGAGGCCCAGAAGATCAAACAGGTAAGGCCGTCATCACGACTCGGCAGAGGTTAAAAACACTTTCATACATTAAAGTCGCATGAGGACGCTTTCATACTCTCTGCTCTCAGGCCATCATTCACCCTGACACAGGAGAGAAGATCTTCATGCCATTCCGAATGTCAGGTATGACCTCAGATGAAGATCTTTGTGAGATTTGTTTAAATCTGATCCATTCTGTGATCATTGTTACACCTGAAAACATGTTTTCACTGTGCAGGTTATGTACCATTTGGAACACCGATTGTAAGTCCCATATGGAAACCATACATTTTAGTCACACACATTCCTGTCCATTTCTTTACATTGGTGCAGATATCTGTGAACATGGTCATGTTTGGGAACAGATGAAATTAAACCTTGAACTTATTTTGTCAAAAATAAGCTCTTATTCCCTGGTTTCATCTAGGTCATTGGCCTTCTCCTCCCAAATCAGACAGTGGTGTCTACCATTGTATGGCAGGTACTGGAAGTGACAAGAATATTGTGGTGCTTGGAAGTCTGTGAAACCTTTTCTATTTTTGTATAAACATTACCTTTAAAACAACTGTACAATTTAACATTGGCTCTGAATGTAGATCAACATAACACAAATCAAATAGAGAAAAAAGTAAGTTTTATCCAATTTGAGATACGTACTGGTGGCACCATCATGGTCAGGGCTTCTGTTGCTACATCTGGTCCTGGACGAATTGAGAGGATAAGAAATAAAAAAACACTGATAAATTGTATAGAAAAAATAAAATGACTGTCAAAGAACAGTTTAAGAAGAATAATGCTATTTCCTGGAGTGTGGTGGTGAGCCCTGAAATGGATAATTCATGTAATGAAACCCACCAGCATCCCAGAGCTGAAGATCCGTTTGGAGAAAATAATCCGTTTAAACAACGACCATCCACTGCTGGCACTTTAGGGCCAGAGGCCAGATGTTGTCAGAGAACCCAAGTTCTAAGGACTGACGTAAAACCCACCTTTTCTAATCTTGAAAAAGTTTAATGGCTTAATTTTTTCATTTCGGGAACCATTGATCTACTTTTAGGACCTCTGTGAGCATATGATGTTCTTATAATTATTTAACAATTATCCAAAGTACAAGGTGCACAAACTTCTAAGTATCACTGTAAATAACTGCATTTATTTCCCATTCTCAACATCTGGTAAATGCAGCTTTACTGGGATCTGTCTCTCTGTCTCTTTCTGTCTTTCTCTCCCTTTCTGCCTTTCTCCCTTCTCCCTCTGTCTGTCTGTCTGTCTGTCTGTCTGTCTGTCTGTCTGTCTGTCT